GTGCCGCACCGAAATTCTCCAATTATGTGACAGTCCTGGTGACTGTATTGGCAGCCGCTTACTTCAAAGTCAACTGACGCCACTAGTAAGATTGCGCGTGGCAATCCAAGGCGCACGGCGGTTTCAAAAATACACGAAAATCTACTCCTAACCTATGTGTCAAACACTGCTCGCGGAGATGAATGGCCTTGTGATCATTCATAAGGCGGCCAAGAATTATGCACCACGTTCCACTTCTAGCTCTGCTGCCTCCACCTGATATGTCTAAACATTGAGGAAGCTCTCTTCTTGGAGTGATGGTTTGGAGGATTGCATGGCGAAACCCTCTAATTGCTTTTCGGTCTCAGGGTCTCTAATTACAGAGACCGACTTCATATTAAACCGACGCCAATAGTGAGATTTCGCCTTGCAATCCAGAAAACATGGCAGGTGTTTAACAACCAGAAATTATTATTGTAACCGTTGTGTCAAACACTGCTCGTGGACCTCAATGGCTTAGTGATTTTGACGATGGCCGCCAAGCAATATGCGCCGTGTTCCACTGCCTACTACTCTAACACCGCTTGTTGATTATAAACAAAAGATCCTTCAGCCGTGGAGCGAAAAATGGAAGAGCTTCAAACCGGACGATTCCACATCGGTAACGGTCCCATTGAAGTTATTGGTATTGATTGACTACAAAGTCAACAGGCGCCACTGGAGAGATTGCGCTTCGCATAAAAAGATACACGGCGGGTGCCCATAAATATCGCAAATCTCCTTCTTAACGATGCAAAATCTTTGTTTGGAGAGCTAATTGGCCTAGTGATCATGGCAATAGCCGCAAGCAGTCTGCGCCTAGTTTCACTTCCATCTCGGCTACACCAATCCGATATAGTTAAGCAAACACAAAACCGTCCAGCGTGGATTGCAGTAATAAAAGATAGCCACGCTTAAAGCCGCTAACTCGGTGAGGATGCTAAACCCGTATTATCAGATACTGTCTTTGAATTAAAACTAGGCTACTGGTGAGATTACGCGTCGCAATTCAAGACACATGTCAGGTGCTCAAATCCGAAAATCGTACTCTAAACGCTGTGTCAAAAACTGGTCTCGACTTTAAATGGCTAGAAATCATGGCGATAGCCGCCAAGAACTTGGCGCCAGCTTCTGCTCACTGCTCTACCAGGTTAGTATCCAAAAAAGCGAATACGTCGACCTTGGAGTGTAGTTAGGGGAGGGTGTCACACAGAAACACTACACTTCGATGATTGTCCCAGTGATTAGATTGCCAGTGGCTGAATTCAAATTCAACCAACGCCAATTGTGAGCTTGCGCAACGCCATCTAATACACACCGCGGGTGCATAACTAACACAAAAGTGTAATTATAATCTTTGTGTCGAATATCCGTCGCGGAGTATAATGGCTAGTTATCACGTCGGTAGCAGCCACACGCTATGCGCTGGGTTCCAATTCTTTCAGCGCTATCTTTACATAATGAGTCAAAACAAATCTAGAGCCGTCGGTCGTGGAGTGAAAGAATGTTAAGGAGTCACAGCGGAAACCATAATTCCCGTTTCGCTCCCAGTGCCCGTATTTGCAAAGGCTGACTTCAATCCAACCGAGGCCAAGGATGAGATTGGGCGTCAAATTAAATGAAGAACGACAAGTGTTCAAAATTCAGGAAATCCCATTCCAGCCGCTGTATCATAGCTCAGTTCTCTAATGATCATGGCGATAGCCGCCAAGCAATATATGACGAGTTCTATCCTAGTCAGGATATTTATATTTGATAAGTTCAAACCAAAAGGAAACCGTCGGCCATGGATTGCAGGGCTTGAAGATGGCCACAGCAAATACTTTAATCCACTTGACGGTCGCAATAACCATACGTGCAAAGGTTGAGTTCACATTAAAAACACCAGATACGTGAGTATGCGCCTTGCAATGCAAAACACAAGCCGGGTGCCTGAAAACTAGAAAATATGCTTGTAACCGCTGGGTCAAAACCTACTCGCTAAACGCAATGGCCTAGAGATCATGGCGATTGCCGTCAAGCGTTTGCACTGATTCCCAATCGCAACTAGTCTATATGCAACTGATGAGTCTAAACAAAGAGGAAACCGCTAGTCGTGAATTGAACGGATAGAAGAGTGTCCAAGCAGAGCCTTACACATCAGTGGCGGTCCCGGTTATGTATTGGTCGCGCCTGACTCAAATTCAAGCAACGCCAACAAAAGGTTTCTCGACCCAAACTAAGGCACACGGCATGTGCTCGGAATAAACAAATATATATATATATATAATAGTAACCGCTGTGTCAAACACTGCTCGCGGACCATCATGACCTATTTATCTAGGCGATAGCCGGCAAGCAGTTTTTGGCGATTTCAAATCCCATATAATCTAACTCGAACGTATGCCTCTAGGAAAAGAAAAAATCTAACGGTCGGGGGGTGCAGGGAAAGAAGAAGGCCAAACCATAACCCTCCCCTTCGGTGCAGGTCCCAATGATCCTACTGACAGAGTCTGAATTCAAACTCAACCGACGCCACTGAGGTGGTTATGTGTCAAATCCCATGACACTTGGCGGGTGCGCAGAAAACACAAAAACCTTATATTAACCGCTATGTTAAACACTTCTCGCAGGCATATAAATATTTTGGCCGTCTTGGCGACAGATGCAAAGAAATTTGCAAATAGTACCACACCGTGCTCGGCAATCTCCACCTGATGGGTCTATACACAAATCGTGCAGTGCAGGGATGCGAGATAGGCACAGAGAATGCCTCCGCCAGTGTGGCGGTCCCTGTGACTGTATTGGCCAAGGCTGACCTCATATTCAACGCTGGACACAAGTGAGATCGCACTTCGCAATCCAAGACACATGGTGGGTGCTCAGGTAATAGGAAAGGGTATCTCAAACAAATTTGTTATTCACTGCTAGCGGAGCTCAATAGCCTGGGGATAAGGGCTATAGCTGACAAGCACTAGGCACAGAGTTCCACACTCTGTTATGCTACCTCTACCTGATGAGTCGAAAAGAAGACGCGACCGTCAGTCATGGAGTGAAGGAATAGGAGAGAGTCACAACGAAACCCTCCACTTCGCTGACAGTCCACGTGAATGTGGTGGCACAGGCTGACCTTAAAGTCAACGTAAGTCGCTAGTGAGATTGCGAGTCGCAATCCAAAGTAAAACTCTGGTGTTCAAAATCGAATATCTACTTCCAACCATTGTGTGAAGCATTGTTCGTGGAGCTAAATAACCTTTTACTCTAGCGTTAATCGCTATGCACAATGCGGTGAGTTCAAATCCATCTCGGCTCTATTTATCTGGTGAGTCTAAACAAAAGACGAAACCGTCGGTCGTGGATTGCATTGATGTGAGAGGTCCAAGTAAAACCCTTCGATTCGGTGACGGTCCCAAGTATCTTATTTGCACAGGCTGAATTAAAAGTCATCCAATACCTCAAGTGAGATTGCACTTCGCACTTAAAAACACAAGGCAGGTTCTAAAACCCGAACATATAATGCTAACCGATGTGTCAAACACGGCTCGTGAAGCTCAGTGGCCCGTTTATCATAGCTAGAGAAGCCAAGCAATATGCAGCGTCTTTAATACCAGCTAGGCTCTCATTACCTCATGCGTATAAGCAAAGACGAACCCTTTGGTCTTTGAGGGCAAGGATAGAAGAGAGCCCAACCGAAACACTATACTTTGGTGACGGTCCTATTGACTGATTAAGCAGAGGCTGACTTCAAATGCAACAGAAGCTGCAGCAGCAATAGACCGACAAACACATAACAACGTTAGAAACGTTACAAAAAAATTAATTGGCCCAAAACCAAACCGGCTGTTTAGGAGAGGCGTGCGTAGAAGTAAATTAAACTCTAATGCATCCAATATAAATGTATAAGTCATAATATCGCAAAGGATTTCCAGCTAAATGAAAACATGCCCTGCCGCATTTGGGAAACCAAAATCCGCAAGATTACCCTGATCAGAAAGCTAGACGTGTATCCTCTAGAGGATGCCTTGCGCGTAATGAAGCACATCTTGATTTCTAGGAATTTGAAGCTTTCCAACATGGTAATCAACTACTTAACTAACGGCTGCGCATCAATACAAAAGGCACGAACCTAAGACCACTGCATAAATCCCAACGATCTCTCTTTGTACACGCGTAAAATATGGATTCACCAAGTATAATGTATACATCCCTATAATGCACATTATGTTTGCTTGTATTTAGACTGAAAGCACTACATGCTTTCTGATAGTTTAGGGGGGTGACGGTATTTTGTCGACAATTATCTGGTACCATTTTCCTCCACTGATTATCCCAAAATATTTGGATTCGCGATTATCAAGAATCTGATTTTACGATTTCAGTGAATTTATGTATTTTCGTTAGTATTGTTGGTGTATTTACTAGTGCAGCTGCTACTATAGAATTTATACAACACGCTTACTTTATTTCTCATTCAAACGCTGAAAATGAAATAAGCAATTTACTGCTGCCATTGCTGAGACTCAAAATCAACAAGAGGAAATGTGCAGTTAGTTATGCTTCCATAATTTAAACTTTGCGTAGTTAAAATAGCATGCATAGCGTTGCATTAATCGCAGCAAATCAATAACCGCTTTGTGTTACAAAAAGTTAAAGCTGTCTTCTTTTATACCTCTGTGGTTGTTGTAACCTGTGCCATTAAATATGCTGGGTAAAGCGGTCGCTCCTACTGAAGTTTTGGTGGTGGGGAAGATAATAGAGATTCCGACAAAGAAAACGTGGACATTTTCGTGAAAAATATCTACAAAACATCAGAACTATGCCAGGAAGCAATTAGTTTTTTGGTCTGCAAGATGGTTTTATTTCAGCTAAACGCGCTTTGACATACTATGTGCAAAAGGAATCCGAAAAGTACATTGAAATCAACTGTCTTAATTAAAATGTCATTTGAACAACTATTTGGAGTGCCTTATCCTTCGTGTATCGGATGATTCTGGTCACATCTTCTATTGCACTGTCTGAGTTGATGCTGCCATGCGCAGCCGCCTAGTATGCCGCTGCAACCTGCTCTTTCTCTTCGCGCGTTTTGACAGTCCAAACGGCAATGGGCCCATGAGTTCCCGTCCACCACCGGTGCAAATAGGTTTATCGATATCAAGCACTGAAAAATATCAAGTGAACTGTTTAATAGTAAAGCCTTTGGCAAGTAAAATCATGCTATTGTTTAAAAACAATGTGGTTTTCAACCAACGACACCAGCTTGGTACAAGTACATTGATGTTATGTAATAATCGTATAGCCTCACCGCAAATAAAACAAAATGACACATATTGTGCTGTGTTAAGTTGCCAAGTGGGATAGCTCATGCTTTATATTTACCTCTGTCTTCGAGATTGGTTGGACGGAGGAAGGTCTGATCGTGCTTAACGTATAATGGTTGGCGGTCGGTTCTGTGTTTATTTTCAGTCTCAGTTATGTTAACCAATGGCCGATGTGCAGGTATGTTATTGCTAAGCATGCTTTACAGGGAATTTTGACTTGGTTATCCTGCTAGCATACAATATGTATGTTCAAGCTAAGAGGGCTTCAAAAATGGGCAGTTAATAAGGGCTAACATATTATTTCTATAATCAGACTGTCTTCGTATTGTGTAATAGGCAAAATAAGCATTAATTTAAAGGCTATCATTCCGTGCTTTATCTCGACACCTACTTTGCAAATTGGAAAAATATCTATAAAAATGGGGTGCCCTTTTAATCCGTCGCAATAATTTTGACAATTGTATCATTAATTGGGTAATGTAACTAGCATTTCCTGGCATTTAAATGGAAATCCTATTTAATTTACCAATCCACCACATTTCGAATTTCATATGACGGCTTGTCTCTCGTTTGCCCGTTAACGATCATCTCACATATTACAATATATGTATATTATAAAGAGAATCAGGCTGTTGTTGAAGTTAAGAAACAATAATGACCCTAAAAGGGTACTTCAGGTAAAACTGTTGTGTGCAGAACGGATGCTACTCTAGCTTTACTGGACTTAACGCCAAAATTTTTACCGCAAAGAAACTCCACAATCCAACTCAAAACATTGAGACGTAGCCAAAACCATTGCATCTGTGCAGCTAAGAATCAATGATAAACCGAGTCAATGGCCTTGCTAGTGCCGAGAAATCACAATACAACTGAGATTCCTTCATGAAGACAGCTAGTCTTTTCATCTATCAAATACTAAATGCAAATAAAGCACAAGTTAATCTTTACAAATCTACGCGCTTCGTTTTCCATTTCGCTTTATATAAATGGTGCTCACAACTTTGTTTTCCCATAAGTGTTTCCAAGCAATTAAGTAGCATGTTGGTTAGACATACAGCCCTATACACAACATGGAATGATTTTGACCTTCCGATAGGTTTTGCTACAACAGTTGTCACCATGCAGCCATCTAGTAGCCTAGCTTCACCAAGTGACATATTAAACAGTACCAAGAAAGCATAATGGATGTCAGCCAATGGCTAGACGGTAGTAGAGTAATTTGAGTCTAAGCGAATTAGTACCCCCAAGACCTCCAGAGCAGTAAGCAAAGTATTCAGAATTGTGCTATTATTTTGACAAAATGAAAGTAATGGTGTAGAAGCCTTTCGTCCGTTAGGTGAGTGTTTTGAAAATGGTGCAGTAACACAATTGTTTGCGTAACATCCTACGTTGCATGTCAACAGTCATCGGCCAGTAAAGTAAAAACACCATATAATTAAGCAGGCTTGCACTGAACGAACTATACTAATACATCTTTGGTTTTTATGCCATATTTTTGACCGGCCTTACTTCAAAATAATACTTCGTTGGTCTTTACATCTTTATTGTCTCATTGCGACATTTCGTTTATGGCAACCAACAAAAGTTGCGCCTCTATCATGTGATTACTTGTGTTTCGCAACCACTTAGTTTTACTGGTGTATTTCCTGGGTGCAGTGGTGCGAATTATTCTGGTAGTTAAAAAGTCCCACGCTTAATTAAGTTCCATCCTTGTTCTATTGTAGCCCGATGCAAATGAGGAAGGCATTTAAGCCGCAGTGTTCGAGCTCTAACCGTATTTATTTCGAAGCGACCAAAGTGCTACGCTTGGAGCCTATTCGTATGTAAAGAGATAACAATAATCTAACCGACACACTTTGATAAGTAGCCGTATGTGAACCATTCAACTTCTAGGGTTGTATGAGCACAACCAAGACGTTCGCCTGCTGAAAGTCGACCAGACAGAATAAGGCGTTTCCGTGCGAAAAAGCGTTTCCACGGCGCATAAAACATGCTCTAAATCTGCGTGTTGGAGGGTTCGCACAAATATGGTGCGGTAATTACTGCCCGTATGATCGAAGTAAATTTCAGTATCCTGTAGTCTCGCAGCCTGAAGGCTACATTCACACCGATCCGTAGTACAATTCAGCCACTTAATATAATAGGGTAATATTTAACTTAGATTCCCGATTGTGGCATTATGAACATAGCTTCCCTACTTCCACATTGCTATTTGATAAGGAGAAGAACAATAAATCTGGCTTATATTCAGATCTATCTAATTTGTGCACTGAAAAACCAGACTGTAAACCACTTAATGTGTAGCCCAGCGTCAATCCGGTATCACTAAATGAAACAACATCAGAATACATACAGCTCACTGAGAGTTCCTACAATTTATTCATTCGAATACAAATGTGTGTACACAAAGTTTAGCCGTCTACATTCCCTCTATCTACCGGGTAACTTAAGTGTTTCACACAGGCAATGAATAAGTTTGGACCAAAATTTCTTTGAAGCAAATCTTAAAAGTTCAGCCGATTTACGATTTTGTTCCTTAGTAGTATTGACTAGCTTCTGTGAGCGTGCAGAGGATACGTTTATTTAATTGGATCTGGAAATACGTGCGTTTACAGTATGATCGTACACTGCTTTACAATTAAAGCTTGCCTAATTTTAACTGCGTGCAATTTGTTTTGCCATATTGAAACTAATGTGCGCGTGATCTACATTTGAAAAATAATCCGGCACGCTACATCATAAACATTTGCAAGTAATGTAGTATCCATTATTTTTCGAAAATGCTCGGCTTTTACAATAGAAACAAAAATGTTCATCCTAAGATGTTTACGCAAATGATATACTTCTGATAATGCTATGAATTTGAGCTAATTGCCGTGCGATATCACTAGTTTCGTAGACGTGCAGTGTTGGACTGTCTATTTCGGAAACGGGTACCTGATAAATATGTATATATTATCCGATCATTATGAGCGTGAAACTAAGGCAAACTGAGGGATTGCGGACGATGGCTTTGCCCTGTAATATCTCCAGTGGTGTAAGACAAAATTGTCCGCAGCCTCCTTTCCTCATTAAATTCGCTAATCACGAAGTCATGGAGATCGCGTTCACAAGACGGGACTTAGAATATGGGGATCAGCTCCTAGGAGAATAACTCTGATTTGGAGTATGCTGGTGATAATATCCTAATCTGTGACAGTTGCCAGACTGCCAAGCTTCAATGGACAGAGTAACAAGTATTGTCAGCCAATTCGGGCTTTGCTTTGAAGTATGGAGTTGCAAAGCCTTCCTCAAGGATTGGCCTGGACCGCCTCCAATGCCGACACTTGGTTGCAATCAGGTAGGAGTATCTTAGTGCAAATCTAATTTACGACCTGTGTGCAACTGAAGCCTCCAAGAAAATTGAAAGTAATTTTAAGATCAAAAACATCATTTAAACAACCGGTTGGGGTGCTTATCCTAGGCGCACAGGGTGATTCTCGTCACATATTATATTACAGTGTCTGACTTGGTGCAGGGACGCATGCATGGCACAGCAGCTTTTCACTCCAAAGCAACCTGTTATTTAGCGCATTCTGGCAGTCCCAACGGCAATCGGCAAAAGAGTTCCCGTCCACTTCCAGCACAATCAAGCTTATTGATATCAAATACTGCAAAGTATGCCGTGAAAAGCTTAAAAATAAAGCCTTTGTTATGTAACATAATACAATAGATGTAAAGCAATCATTTTGTAAACCAATCTTTACAAATTTCTCAAGTGTGCAATGAAGTGGTGAAAGAACAGAGCCGGGTTAAGGCATCGAAAACGAGGGCACTTTTATTGTGCTGTGTTTTGATGCCAAGGACGATGGATCTTTACTACTATTCGCCGCTGTCTTTAAGAATGCGTGAGCGCAGGTAGGCCTTAGCTTACTAAACTTATGGTGGTTAGTTGTCTTTTGAATGCGCTTAATTTGTGTGTTAATTGTGCTGACCATTGGCCGGCGTGTCATTGCGTCAAAGCTCGGAATATGGTACACTGCAATTTGGCCGACGTAAGTTGGTAGGTTTCAGTATTTCCGTTCAACGTAAAACGCATCCAAATTGAGCATTTAATGCATATAAATTAAGTTATTTCTCGAATCCACTTGTATTTTTAATGCGTAGTGGGCCCATTGCACAGTAATGTAAACTATAACATGTTTTTCCTCTCGACACTGACATCATTAAATTGGCAAAATTTTAAACAAACACTGTTCTTTTTGAATCATTCGCAAGTTTGTTGTTAAAAATATGATTACGTGGGCGCTGCAATTAAGCTGCAATTCCCTGGAAATAGTAAAATGATATATACTTGTGGTACCGATACATTGGTTAATTCGGATTTTTGACTTCATTATTTGCGGACGCTAATAGCCAGATGCATGAGGCAACAGTAGATATCAGTGTTTAGCAATCTCATGAAGAGTCTTAAATGTGATGTATATTTTACAAACACATGCATTACGCACTGATGATGTGCCGATACTTCGGCTACAATGGTGAAAACATTCAAGGCGTTTTCATGGAATTATTAGAATTATTTGCTTGCACAAGTTCAAACAATTTCAAAAGCGAGCTTTATGTTTAAATGCTAGCATGCACTCATTGAATTTAGATTCATTATTTTTAAGAACGGTTGCAAATTTTCCGTCGTATTGATGCGTGAAATACATATTTTTGAAATATATTCTCCGAAGTAATACGGAGAGAGAAATTTGTACTCCCTGAAATGTAAAATTTGCCATCAATGCGAAACTTCATTCTCAGCTTTTTGTGTAATATTCTAGGTTAATCGTACGCTGGGTGAAGGGTACTACTACGGTATATTTCTGGCCTAAAGCGCCCGTCATTAGTGGTATCAAAATATTGTTAGGAGTTTGTTGCTCCAGATGCCTGCGCGAACTTCGCATTTAATTAAAAACAAGTAGCCTAATGAATAACACAAATGCAATGTTGATGCAATTAGTTGAACCGACGCCTTTTATTTTCAAGTGAACTTGTCAGATTAAAAGTAGAATGCCGGC